TTATATATGTATACAAAAAAGTAAATAAAAGTATAAAAGAACATATCTCATATTTATAAGAATTATATAAAATAATTTGCAAATTTAAATTTATTACTTGAAGTATATAAGAGAGTTTTAGAATTTTAGCTAGCATTAAAATTAAAATCCGAATCATTTTTCATAATGTAATAAATTGAAATAATTGTAAATTAAAAAAAAATGAACAAAAAAAAAATGCTTTCCTAAACTAATCGATTCTTTATACTGCAAATGTTTTTTGAATCATTCGAATCGGAAGCTTTGAAACGACTGGGCCTGTCTTTTCCAGAAACTAATCACCACGTAATCAATACAAATTGAATGTTTTTAAATAATTCAAATCGGATGCTCTGTTTTCTCAATAGGAAACGATTGCTTTTTGAATGTTTAAATCGGTTGATCCGTGCTCCCGAAAACGTGGACAGAGAAAATTGTATCCACACACACACACACACAAACACATACATCCATTTCTTTAAGGTATGTCAATATATTCAAAAACCTCTGAAACGTTAAATATGTAAAAAGGTTTATTAACTATATGTAAATTACAATTTTAGGAAAATTACTATAACTTGCGGTAAGTAAATAATAAATGTATTTATAACTATCGGTCATTAAGTTTTAAAACAATTAACTTAATTGAATAATAATTTATTAGAAAGATTGAACTCTAAACAACATTGCTGACAGCGAAACTTGTTTATATACGCCACCATGTATTAGATACTGAGATACGAGGTTGCGCATGGCACATTTTTTGAATTGAGATACGTGATTGTATTCTTCTCAATAAAAAACGTTCGGTTGATTTTTTTTTACAAAACTTCACAGATCTATGCGTCTATATTTAGTGATTCATTTTCCGATTAAAACTCAAAATCGTCAAAAATCGAGTTACGAGGTTGCGTCAGAAAAGCATCGATATGTCTAATGATCATTTTTCACCGCCAAATGCCATTTTCTTCACTTTTTTCACATTCCTCAAAATTAATCAGTTGTTCATTTTGTCAATATAAGTAAAAATGTTTTTTAAATTATTGAAATCGTTTTCTTATCGCTCCATTCTCTTCAAAACTGAATCACTATTTTGGCACTTTTTGCCTCGTATCTTCGAAACGGCTTTGCCAAAAATTAAACAGCACTTCTCCTTATTTATATGAATCGAATGTTTTTGAATCATTCAAATTAGATGAAACGTTAATAATTAAGTATACATGAATCAATGATGACAATCCAAATTCATAATTTTTAATAACTGTGTCAATATCTAATGGCAACATATGAGATAGAAGATGAAGTGTCTCCGCCAATTTATATCATTATATGCTACAGTATGTCATTACTAAAAGACGAATGAATCTGTATAAGATATTTGATCCAAAATGTCGATAAAAAACGTTAATTCTAATTGCAATCTAGATGTAAGAAACCTAAGCCGAACAACAGCCCTTATACGATAGAATATAACATTACAATTATTATAAATAACCCACTTTGAATCGTCGAATTATTAAATTTACTTACTTTATTTTACTTGCTCCAAAAAATATATAAATATTTCTGGAACATGGCTATTGATATTTTGAAACATTCCACTCGCATTTACATTTTTTAATTGTTTTAATATCGCTAAAAAATAAGCAGTATTTTTTAGAACAAAATTGATTTAAATTTAAAAAACACAGTTTACCTCGAGCAGCCGTACTGTTCGGATCAGTGCTTCAATAAAATAAAATAATATTTATCCATCATAACAAAATTAGTGAGCAGTGTAAATAAAAATTATACTCAATCCATCCAAACTACACAGTAGTGAAACTAAGCCCCCCTTTTAGGGGGCATATAATAAAAAGAAATAGTGCAGTGAATAAAAAAAAATAATAAACAGTATAATCTCAGTGTTACTAAATAATCATGCAGAACAGCGAAGAAAATAGTTCAACTATTCCAATTGTACAATCAATTGAATACTGAGATGACACCTCCAAACAATATAGTGCATACGCGCCAAACCATTTAATTAATCAACATAACAATATGAATTACAATCACCTGAAACAGTTTAATCACATGTTCAAACCCTCGCAAACAGATAGTGCATACGTGCAAAACATTTAATTAATCAACATAACAACATTAATTACCAATCACCTGAAACTGTTAATCACATGTTAAACACCGGCAAAAAAACGCAAACAATAGTGCATACGTGCAAATCTTTAATTATCAACATAACAACACTAATCACCAATCATCCGAAACTGTTAATCACATGTTAAACACACTCGCAAACAAATAGTGCATACGTGCAAACCATTTAATTAATCAACATAACACACACTAATCACAATCACCCGTAACTGAAATTATCACATGGAAACAGAACAAATTAATCAAGCAGTAAGCTGCAGACAATCAAAACTAACAAACGTCGAAGAACTTCAACAGGCCTATCGAAAACGTCAGCATTATAAAAACATCAAACCGGTTTAATGTTCTCGCAACAGGTAAGCCGGCGACCCAAGCGATAACACAATAGCAACACAGGCCCTTCGACCTCGCAAGCTGATAACAGGAATACGGTTCAAAGGCCACCTCCCATTTTCGTCTATGACGTAGACGATATCGCTGACATGACAGGCGAAATCAACACAATAATAAACAGGGAGCAGTACACAACAAAATCATTGCACGACGATATAGTGAAAATAAACGTCGAAACACCCGAGCAATATAAATTGCTCATACAATTTTTTAAGTCAAAACGCGTAGTGTATCATACCTACCAAATTAAACAAGAGAGAGCCTACAGAGTAGTTATAAAAAAATATTCACCACACAACCGATACTAACGAAATTAAAACAGCGCTAGAAAAACTAAACTACAAAGTGAGAAACATTGTCAATATCTTGCAACACAAGACTAAATACCCATTAAACATGTTTTTCGTCGATTTGGAGCCTTCAGAGAATAACACCACAATTTATAAACTGAACAAAATTTTAAATCAAATTGTAACAGTGGAATCTCCCAGAAAAAGATTTGGTATTATACAGTGTACAAGGTGCCAATTATATGGACACTGTAAATCCTATTGCAACAGACCATTTGTCTGCGTCAAATGCGGCGGCGACCATGATACTTCAAAATGTAAAAAATTAAAAAGCACTCCAGCCACATGCGCTTTGTGCGGAGGCCCACACCCGGCAAACTATAGAGGATGCACCAGCTACCGCACTATGTATAATACCTTACATAACAAAACTAGTGCCACACCAATACAAAACATTTCAAAACGCTTTCAAGAAATCAATACAAGACCACGATCAAATCATACTAATGTTTCGAACCACATGACTTATTCCGAAATTCTGAAAAATCAAAACAACGGCGGAAACAATGCAACAGAAATAGGATCAACACTACATGAATTTTTAAGTACATTCAAAGATATGTTCAAACAACTTATGGAGCAGAACAATATGATCCTCAACATGCTTACCTTACTAGCTAAAAAATGATTAACCTGTTACGCATTGCCGAATGGAATGCCAACGGTATTCTAAACCAGGCATCGGCAACCTACGGCACGCGTGCCAGGCTTGGCACGCGAAGGGATTCTGAATGGCACGCTACAAAGGAATTAGGAAAATCGCAAATATATCGAGACGAAGTGATTTTTAAATAAGAGAAAATGTTGAAAATAAGAGAGAAAGTTTGATTATAATGTGGTTCGCTAATTTCATGAAATCTGCGCGAAGGTTGATTGAGACCGCATTCGGAGTAAAAGGGATGAAACATGTGCAGTGCCGAGTAGTTATCGAAGCGGCCTTCACGAAGCTGAATGTTGGAGTATCACTCGCCCCCCTCTTTCTCGTTTATCAACTGCGAGTGCTGCGCACCATTTGGCACCATTTGCTTGTGTGCTTGTGCGGTGGGCTTAAACTTGCGCAGTTAAACTTGCATTTCGTTTGGTCGCTACTTTTCGTTCTTACTTTTTTGTGAAGACTTGTATCTTATTGATTTTATATTTGTTATAATTCATTCGTATTTAATCAAATGGAGAGTAAGAAACAAAAATTAGATGTTCGCGGTTTTCAAGACTGTTGGACGAATGAATATGGATTTATACAACAAAAGGATCGTGCTGTATGTGCGATATGCCGCGAAAGTGTAGTATGCCGCACGTCAAGTGTACAAAGACATTTCCAAACCAAACATCAGTCCACATTTAATAGCAACGATGAGAAATGTGAAACTATAAAGAAAGCTGTTTCTTGTTATAAGAAACAAATAACTTTTTTTTGTGGAATGACTGGAACGAAGGCTAAAGCGACAGAATGCAGCTTCGCAATTGCTCATTGCATAGCTGCCAAAGGCAAACCCTTTACAGATGGAGAATATATAAAGGAATTTTTTATAAAAAGTGCTGAAAAGTTGTTTAGCGATTTACCTAACCAACAAACCATATTATCCCGAATTCAAGAAATACCGGCTTCTGCGCGAACAATTGAAAGAAGAATAACTGAAATGGCAGACAATGTAACAACAAAACAGAATGCTGGATTACAAGAAGCTGTTTCATTTAGTGTTGCTGTTGATGAAAGTACCGACGTAAATGATATTGCGCGGCTTGCAGTATTTGCACGGTATTGTGATAAAGATCAAGTTTATGAAGAATTGTGTACTTTGATTCCTCTGTCTGGGACAACTAAGGGGGAGGATATTCTTTCTTCATTCATAAGTTATTTTGACAGCAAGAACATTAATGTCAAAAAAATATTTTCTGTAACTACTGACGGCGCAGCTGCAATGATTGGCAAAGATAGAGGATTTGTCAAACTTCTTGAAAATCATATTGGACATAAAATATTGAACTTCCATTGTATAATACACCAGGAAAGTTTAGTTGCCAAAATTTCGTCACAGCGCTTAATTCCTGTAATGAACACTGTTGTTAAAATAGTTAATTTTATAGTGTCTCGCTCTTCACTAACACACAGACAATTTAAATCTCTTGTAGAAGAAATGGAAAGTGAATATGTTGACCTTCCCTCATACAGCCATGTTCGTTGGCTTAGTCGAGGCAATGTCTTAAATAAGTTTGTGTCATGTCTGGAACCCATCAAAGTTTTTCTTAACGAAAAGGAACAACATTTCCCCGAATTGAACGATGAAGAATGGTTAGGCAAATTAATGTTTCTGACCGATGTAACAAATCATCTAAATGAACTAAACTTGAAATTGCAAGGAAAGCGCCAAACGGTGCTCGAATTATTTGAATATTGGACAGCATTTGCGTCCACAGCTTGCAAATGAATCGACCGTAAACAACAATGAACTCAAAACCTACGTTGAAGCACTTAAAGATGAATTTTGCAAAAGATGCAAAGATTTTGAAGCTTATGTGCCTATATTTTCCTTCCTCATACAGCCAGATTTAGATTCATCAACAATACCGTTCGATTGTCCAATTTTCGAGTGGATGAATGTTGATAATTTCGAAATGGAAATTATCGAACTAACATCGTCAGAATTATGGAAAACAAAATTTAAAGAACTACGAAAAAATCTAGAAGATGACTCTATAGAAAAATCTACGGTCATATTAAATTGTTGGATGTCATTGCCGGAAAGATTTATTTATTTGTTTCAGCTTTTGGTTCCACATATCTTTGTGAACAAATTTTTTCACACATGAAAAATATTTTGAGTTCACAAAGAAGTCGTTTAACAACTGAACATTCAGAATCATGTGTGAAATTAAAAGTAACAAATTATATCCCGAATATTGAATTGTTAAGCAAAAATGTACAGGGACAAGGTTCACATTAAAATTGTTTAGTTTATGTTAGAATTGTAGGTTATTTGTTAATAAATATGTTTAAAAGATAAATTTGGTTTTAATTCATCTTTCCTAGAACCTAATTATATATTTCAGAATCAGGGGCGTAACTACCGCCGTATCAGCCATATCAGCCCCAAGCCAGGGGGGCCCCCAACGTCCGTAAGCAAATATTAATAATAAAAAAAATATTTCACAAAAAGCGAATTAATCGTGAAAAATTTGTTCAGTGAAATTTAATTTCATTAAGAGAAATGTAAAATTATTGTTTTAAAGTGTATTTTTCCGGGCCATGGGGGCCCAACCTGCCCAAATATAAATAGAATCTTACGAATTTTTATCTTATTTTACAAATAATAAAAGTTAAAATAATCATGAAAACTTCCTTGCAACTAAATTTAATTTCGAATAAAACATGAGCGTGTAAAATGTAAAAATATAAAGAGAGTTGCGATTGCGATAGAATAGAAAACTAGCATTTTATTAAGTCATTTTGTGCAAATTAAAAAATTAAATGTCTCGAAAAATTATCAAAGGAATGGAGCGTAAACGACTGTTTTCAAAAACAAAAGGCAAAGTATAGCAACCCGTAATCTTGTTTCAAACTCAACATATACTATTGCTAAATATACATATTAATTTCTGAAATTAAACAAAGATCAGAGACTTCGACTCAATTAGTATGTTCGAATAATTACAACTTGAGTAATTTAGCAAAAACACCTGTCTTCATGAAACTTTCGTCTAAATACAGTAAGATCATCTCTGTTAATTTTTATAACCAATTGTAAACACTCGAAAAATATGTCTAAAATATGAAATTCAATATTTATTATATCGCTGTCAAAATTCAATACTTTTGCTTAAAATTTTCCCGAAGTAATTTTTGCATACAATTTACCCAGTTTCAACCGCAAATGCTGAAAAAAGTTTTTCAAAAATAAAACTGATACAAAATTAGCTAATTAGTTGTAAGTCTTAGGAAACTTTGCTTGTATTTCCCGATATGTGTAAATAATCGACACAATCAATAAGAATTTAGATTTATTCCAAATTTTTTGATTTTTTAAAAGAAAAAGAGGTCCGGGGGATATAATCCGAACAGTTCTTGATTTTGAAACGAGGGCGAAAATTTTAGCACTCTTCTCCTAATTTCGAGAAATCGGCTCAGCCTATCGTTGTAAACAAACATTTTCTGGCAAAAAAATTTAAACATTTCTTTCAGGAAGTTAAATACTTCTATGATACACAAACAGTACTCAGATCATTATTGTTCATAGAAGCAGAAACTTTATCCCCAAAAAAATTTTGATACGGGGCCCGCCAATGCACGCTACGTCCTTGTTCAGAATTAAGGCGGCACTCTGAATCATATTGGTACAGTGGCTTGGCACACCACAGTTAAAAGGTTGCCGACCCCTGTTCTAAACCATCAAAATGAATTAAAAACTTTCCTACATCTACAAATGATCGATATTCTGTTAATAAGTGAAACTCACCTGACTGATTCTTTATTCTTCAGAATTCCGTCTTATAACTTTTATTTCACCAATCATCCAGACCAAACTGCTCACGCTGGTACAGGTATACTGATAAAATCTTCGATCGAGCACTACGAATTACTAAAATTTCAACATAACGAAATACAAGCAACCACCATAAAAGTTAAGGGTTTCACACATGCAACTGATTTAACAGTTTCTGCAATTTATTGTCCCCCTAGGTATAATCTTAAACGTGAAGATTATGAAAAATTTTTCAGAACCTTAGGTACAAAATTCATCGTGGGTGGAGACTTCAATTCTAAAAACACGCTCTGGGGATCAAGATTAACCACAAGAAAAGGTAAAGAATTAGCAGCACTAATCCAGGAAAACAATTACTCTTTTATGTCAACAGGAAGTCCTACATACTGGCCTACAGACAAACAAAAAACACCTGACCTGCTAGACTTTTTCATAACGAGTGGTATTTCGCCTAAATATATGACGATTGAAAATAACTTAGACCTCTCCTCGGATCATACACCAATAATCTTAACATTGAGTTCACGTATATTAAATAAGCAAATAAATAACAACCTATATAACTGTAAGACGGATTGGGATACATTTAAAACTGAAATTGATTCAAACATAAACCACAAAATACGACTAAAAACTGCAGAGGATATTGACAATAGCCTAAATGCGTTCATAACTACATTGCAAGATGCAGTTACAAAAGCTACCCCCACAAAACACGAACAAAATAAAACTAACTATGATATCCCCCTAGAAATAAAACGCCTAATAAAACTAAAACGTAAAGCAAGAAAAAAAGTGCAAAACACGCAAAATCCTAAGGATAAAACAATCTTCAACAACCTGACAAATTCCCTCAAAAAGAAACTAAAAGATCTAGGGGACAGTGAGATTACGCAATATATTTCAAACTTAAGCAGATACGACAAAACAATATGGAAACCCACTAAGTCCACTAGACATCAAACATTCCATAATGCACCTATAAGAATGGACAGCGCAAGCGAATGGGCAAAAAGCAACAAAGAGAAAGCGGCATTATTCGCGAACTATTTAAAAACTGTTTTTTCTACTGCTGGTAACCAAACCGACCAAGAAGCTAACGACGCACTCATGATAGATAACAAAAATAAAAATGCGATAATGAAAACTACTCCCAAAGAAGTTAAAAAATATATAATGCTTACTAAAAACAAAAAAAGCGCTGGCGTGGATAAAATAAAAGGCAGGATGATCAAAGAACTGTCCAAGAAAAGCATAGTGCTCTTGACATACATATTTAATGCAATCCTTAGAACAACATATTGGCCAAAATGTTTTAAAATCTCTGAAATTATTATGATCCTGAAACCAGGGAAATCGCCTACTGAAGCTACATCGTACAGACCAATCAGCCTAATGCCAATACTTTCAAAAATAATGGAGAAAATAATCCTAAGCAGAATAAACGAAAAGCTTACAATAATTCCCGACCACCAGTTTGGTTTTAGACCTCAACACTCGACAATCCACCAAGGTCATAGGGTCATAAACGACATACATATGGCATTGCAGAATAAAAAATACTGCTCTGCCATATTTATTGACATCGAAAAAGCTTTCGACAAAGTTTGGCACCACGGTTTGATCTACAAAATAAACCAATGTCTTCCACAAGAACTGTCATCTTTACTGGAGTCCTACTTATCGAACAGATATTTTAGAGTCAGAGTGCAGAACGAATCATCTGATACAGAATCAATAAAAGCTGGTGTACCTCAGGGTAGTGTACTCGGACCAATCCTGTACCTAATCTACACTAACGACATTCCAACCGACCCCAAAATAACCCTTGGAACATTCGCAGATGACACCATGGTTTTATCATCACATGAAGACGCCACAAAAGCCTCGGAACAGCTGCAAAATTATATACACAAATTAGAGGAGTGGACTCACAAATGGAAAATCACTATTAACTCAACTAAGTCAGCCCACATCACCTTTACCAAAAGAAAAGGAGATTGCCCAAATATAAAAATCAACAATGTTGAAATTCCAAAAAGCAACTCTGTAAAATACTTAGGACTTCACCTCGACAGAGGGCTCACATGGAGCACCCACATCAAGACAAAGCGTAAGCAAATAGACAAGAAATTTCGCGAACTTTACTGGTTAATTGGAAGAAGATCCAAGATGTCATATGAGAACAAGATTCTAATATATAAAGCCGTAATTGTACCAATATGGACGTACGGTATTGAGCTATGGGCATGTGCGAGCACGTCCAATATAAAAACAATACAAAGAGCACAGTCAAAAATATTACGAGCTATAGTGAACGCGCCCTGGTATGTCTCCAATGAAACAATTCATCGAGACCTAAACATCAAATATATTCAGGAAGTTATCAAGGAGAGAAGTACGAAATATCATCAAAAGAGCGCATACCATCCAAACACTCTAATAATAGATCTACTGAAACAAGTACCAACGAGAAGATTAAAAAGAAAGTGGCCGCAAGATTTAATGAATTAACTATCAATATTTTTATGTAAGGAAATTCCCCACTGGGGGAATTTCTAAAAACCCTGTACCCGTTAGCAAATAACCTCATTGAACCCAAGGTTCAGATTGGTTATAAGAAATAAATAAAAAAAAAAAAAAATTAAAAAACGACAATTCAAATTGGATAGTTTTGAGATAATATGTAGAATTATATTCCACTACTGTCCGGCTGTTGTTCGTGTTTTGTACCTTATATCAAGATTGCAATTGGAATTAACGTTTTTTATTGACATTTTAGATTAAACCATCTTATACAGATTTATTCATTTGGTAATAGCATATTGAATCATATAATGATACAAAAATGTAAGAGGTTAACGACAGTTCATCTTCCATCTCATATATTGACACTGGATATCGGCACATTTATTCAATATTATGATGAAAATTTATTAAATATTGTG